ATAGATTTCCAGACGTCGGTTCGCTTGCTGTGAAGTACCATGGGTCTCATGGAGACCACGCCGAAGACCAGAAGGCGAAACATCGCCTCTTGGGCGAATGGAAGGCCGAAATGACGAGACGAGAGCTGGGTGTACGGTTTCTGGATGAAATTCCAGACGAACAGCGGGAAGACGCAATCTTAGAAGCTCAAACTTGTAAGAAAGAGGAAATGGGCGAAGAAAGGTGGAACTTACTGAACGAGCAAGAGACCTTGAAGGAGCTCGTGGACTTCTTTGCTGACGAGGCGTTTCTTCAGCTCACTGAGGACGAGCGTCGCCGCTTGAAGCTCTGGATATGGACAGGGTGCGATATGCACAAAGATCTGAATGCGGTGAAGGGCGGGGACTCAGCAATGAGAGAGAAATGGAAAGAAATGAAAGACTCACCAGTCATTTTGGCAAATCGGGATAACGCTGCAGTGTTATCAGTATTTGAAGGTGCTCCAGAAGCTCCAGATGGCTTAGAAGACGACGAGGAGGGTATCCGAGAGGAAAATCCGGCCGAAAAGCGAGCGCGTGAGGTATCGAGTGCAGGAGCCGTGAAATTGTGCAGTCTTCTAGGTGCACTGCTAAACCATAAAGACGATAAAAAAGGTCAGCATCATTCATTTAGGGACTACGCAATGGGAAAGCTTGGACGTATGTTTACATTCCCCGATACATCGAATACGAGATATTCGTCGTACCTTGATGCAGCGGCAGAGACGTCAACCAACCTGGACTTTTACGTTGGGTATATGCACTATCTTCGGCTGAGAAAGACGTCCCGGTCCCTGAATAACCTTGAAACGAACGTCTTGAAGGCACTCTCGGATGGCCCAACAATCACAGAGCTGGCCGTCCTTACGTTGTACCAGGAGGCTGTATCGCATCCCTACATCAAATCAGTACGTAGTGGCGGATTAAAAACGAACGCACTTACCTTGTGTCATCTGCAAGCTGCAGTGAAAGTACATATCCGCACGCTTATTGAAGACCCGCAGATAATTCTATCGCCAGACGCAAAGCCAGAAGATGCCATCTTGAACGTCAACGATGGGATTGGCAAAGAATCCGTCGAGATAGGCAGCGATGGAATAGGAAGAGAATCTGTCGAGATAGGCAGTGATGGGATTGGCAAAGAATCCGTTGGGATAGGCAGCGATAAACTCACCTGGAAGCGTCCTGAGGCTGTAAGAGCAGTACACAACATGTCTTCTTGCCTTCCGTATCTTGAGGAGATGTTCGTTGCTTTTCTGGAGGGGGCATTGACGACCTGGGAGCGTTTCACGTCAGAATTTGGTAGTGATGGACTAATAGCAGCACTTACAGAGGGAGAAAGGGATGTAGCCTTCATGCCGGCTACAAACGATGCGAACGAAGGTGCCCTCGGGGCATATTGAGTTTTTATTCGAAAAAATCCTACTGCGACCGTTGAGCGTTTTAATTCGATATACATTTACATCAGGTATGCACTGCATCTCCTGCTGGGTTTATGCTACTAATTAATTCGATTTATATCAGAAACGGCACCGAGGAATTTGTAGAAACTTGGCTCACTGATGACGAAAACCAGAAATATTTGCGTACGCAGGCCCGGAACCGCGATACAGAGCAGAGAGACAAGAAACGCCGTCTTTCTATCCTTGAGGAGCATATCCATGAATATGCGTCCTCAAAACAGCGAGAAGAAGAGCGAGCACAGAAGCGTGTAAAGCGCAATGAGCGAATCGATGCTGTCGAGATACAGATGGATCGAGACGAGGTAATGAAAATGAAAGCAACGGAACTGAAGGCGCAACTAGACAAGCTTAGGAGGAATGATACCCAGATACCCATAGAATCAAGGATGAGGACTAAAGCGGAAAAACTCCGGGAACTACTTCTAGCATTAGATAGACTTAATACTGTACAATAGAACGCACTGGCAATACAATTTTATGCTTTAGCATCGTCTCTGAGTGGTTGTTGGTGATTAAGAACGAGACACAACTGTATATATGTACAGAAACGAGCTCCATTTCACTTATTTCACTTGTATTTTTGTATATTCGAATACAGTAGACCTTTAAGTAGTACACTGTAAGTAATAAATATTTTTACAGGCTGCCAGGAGTGTACGGCAGAGAGGTATGATTTGGCGACAATTCGCGCACGCGCATTGAGACTCAAAACGAAGGTTTGGCTTACAATAAGCGCTGCGGGAGCGCTTGCTGATCTTGATTAACTTCCGACAATCGAACTATTACTTAAAATTAAGAAGATCAAAAGAGATCTTCTTGATTTGATTTTTTCTTCGTCTTCTCGAAACTGTCAACATGCGATTTGATCGTATCTACTACATATGGTGCGTATTTAAACTCCGAACTAAAAAAAAGTGCACGCGCGGCACCTTAGGATTGCCGACCCCCA